GAGAAACTTCTTTTCCCTTGGTTTTAATGGGAATTCCTGAAGAACAAATGTCTACAGCTTACCACAGAAGGATCTGGCACCAAGAAAAATGAACAAGGAAGATTCTTATCTGCTATAGATTAAAAGGCCTTGAACAATTACAGAATCTACGTTTGCTTTGTTTTTCTGTTGCTCCCATCTCGACAACAGACATCATGATTGCATTCAGCATAATCCAATTCCTTGAAGAAAATATCTTTGCCAGCAGTATGCGTTAAAAAAATTCAATAAAACCATCCCTTCTGAAAAATGTATCCATCAGATATCAATGCTACCTCTTCATCTTCAAAATGTCATTAAAATGCATGCAGTCAAAGCATTAGACAAAGAAGAAAGGATCTAGAAGACAGTGGATCAGCAGCACAATCACATTACTGCAGACTTCATCTCATGCTCTTACTCACTTAACAATTTATAAGTTGAGAACAAAGGCAGTTGGGCCCCCAGTACTCACCAAATGCCACAATGTGCTGGAGGTCTCCTGCCTGAGATTCTCCTGTCTATAAATCAGAAGCATCTGGCAGCAAAAAAATATACCTCATGTGTCACATATCTCAAGGATTACAGGCAAAGGAGACCCCAGCTGTGAATACCAGCACTACGTCTAGGTGCTACAACTTGTAGTTCTGCATTGCAGTTTCAACCCCACTCCAAGACCAAACATTAACATAAGCAGTGGAGCTCATCTTATATGAAGCATGAGGTCCCAGAGCAGCAAAGACTCAGCAGAGAGTTGCAAATGTGAGAGAAAAGCTGAGTCAGAGGAGAAGACTGAAACCACTGTGCCCATTTCACACTCTGTGCCACCCTGGACAGATACACAGATATGTGTTGTCTTTCATGGTGCTCAATCTTATCCACATCTCCAGGACAAATCAAGGATTTAATCTGCCTATCACAAACTAGTGAAGTCCAGCAGCAAAGCATGCATTTCAGAAGCTTCAGAGAAAGAAGCTGCTAAGATGTTGTTAAACACCAATAGTTTCCATCCAGACTTAGCTGCCCTTTTCACACTCATATCTTCACTAATACAAACTTTGCATAGGGCCTGCTTTTTCAGAGCTTTTGGGCTGTGATTTAAATCTCGTTATCTTTGGGAGGGTTTAAATCTCTGCCTACCTTCAAGAACAAGAGGATTCCTCCTTGACTGAGATCTGTGATATACGTAATGGAACCAAAGCAGCAGCTGGGGGACAGAAAGCAGTCAGTCCCACCTGCTGACATATTCCAGATGGCGATCTGCTTGCATTTGTTTTCTGCCTACTGTATTTTAGGAATCCTTACGAAAAAGTTTCCACTGAATCTTGATGGATAAAGAATCAATGCCAAGCAGTAGTCCTCTCTCTAAGCTGCTGCCAATAAAACTGAAAATCATGCCTGTAATACAGCCCAGTGAATGTCTAATCAGAAACACAAGTCTGCTCTTCTTCCTTCATGGGGCTTAAACAGTGAATTCAAGGGATTAGGACAGTATGAAGAAAGAATTTAGACAGTACCCTTTACATGCATCATTATATGAAATATGTTACGTGACTAATACAGTGGCTGACATTAGGAAAAGTCACCACTAAGGATAGGCATAGCAGTTATATGTTTCTCCTGTCTGTTGATAAAAGGAGCACACTAAAAGGGGCCAGTAGTACACTATATAAAGCAGAGTAGGAGCTATTCTGGCGGCCCTGTAATTTCCTTAGCTTCATAGCTTTTCAGCCTGCATGGTGATCACATATTTGCAAAATCTGCCTCACCCTTCCATGGGCTCTCCAGTTCTCTTTTCTTTAAGAAAATGCTTAAGTCCCTTGACCCTCAAGACTTCCAGTAAAAGGACATGGCAAAGCAAAGCTTAATGAGAGTTAGCATCTGTCCTCCCTCAATCCATTTTCTCTGTTTGTCCAGTCCACAGTGCTAGAGGAAATGAGCCAGTGCAGTGTGACTAGCAGTCAGGTATGAAAGCAACCCTTGCTTTCACATAACCAGTGCAAAGGTAAGTGATGTTCATTGAACAGTACTATAGTTAAGTTCTTCCTGGGACTGTATGAGGTCCTTCACTGCCAACATTTTCCTGAGAAGTCATACATCTTCATCTGTAAATCATGATGACAATGATACAGAGCTCTGATTTGTCTTGCTGAAGAACACTCCTAATGTGAAATGTAATCATGTAACCACTCTGGTTGTGTACACTTAGTGAATTGTCACAGAAATAGATAAATGACCAAAAGACATCTGTGTCAGTATCAATTGGTGTGGCATGGATCTGGCTATGGGCAGAGGTAAAAATACCTTTTTGCTGTCATTGTCACTTCTCTGGCAGAAGCAGTGATTTTAAGCTCTCAAGTTTCCCCTTGTTGTTTTCTTCTTGTCATCCCACACAACAAATCAGAATCATGACTGCATTTCAAAGCTGTGATGCCTGCACTGTAACATAAACAACACAAGGGGGGACTTTCTACAGAGGGCAGTGAAATGTCCTGAGTGGAGAAAAAAATAAAAATGCCATAGAAACTAGCTAGCCAAGTAAGGTAATATTTTGTAGTGTTTTACTGAACCACAGCCCCCACTGCTGATGAGAGGGTCAGGAATTTTACGTTGAAGGGGCCAAGAATTTGCAAAGACATCTCAAGCCTGCTAACAGCCAGGCAATGACTGCTGCCAAGACTAGCAGCAAAATCCCAGTGTTGGCAGCACAACAGAGGAAAGATCTCCATTGCACAGACAGAGCAAGCTTCTGCAGACCCCCTTTAACTACAGGTCAGAGAATGAATATATTCTGCTTCAGAATAACCTGTCAAACTAATTTCACATAACCCCAATCCTCTGGAGTCACACAGACACCCAAACTCCTACACCACACAACACAACTGCCTTTTCTTGCTTGCTAACTCACCTCAGTCTCTTTCCAAAATACCTTCCTGGTTTCTATCCCTCTAATGAGAAAAGCTCCAGGGGAATGCATATCTGATTGTCACATGCCACTAGAGACCCAGGAAACCTGTTCAGAGATTGCCTCAAAGATGGGAGAACTCCCAGAAGGATCATGATTGCATCACTTGTGGTTTTACCTCTGGATGGAAAAACAGTGTCCAAAAGCACCTTAACTTTCTATATTATATATCTGCCCTGGAAGTAGCTATTTTCTCTTCAAAACCATTTCTAAGTTAAAAATACATCTCTGCATAATGAATAAACATTTCCTGTTTTTTTACTAGTCTGCAGAGCCTTCTCCTCTATCCAGCAAGGAGCAAATGCCAGGCACAGTTTGCTAACATACTATGTCATCTGGCAGAAAAGCTGGCGCCCTGGGCAGCATCTTGCTGGAGACATGATATACTCAGGCTTCACCAGCAGATCCTTTCTGAACTTGACTTCTCAGCATCTTCTTTTATAATGCAAATCCTGACCCTGGCATGCAGGATTATGTTAGAATGAATGTCTGCCCAGATTAAATGCTGCTTGGTGCAAGCACGCACTGCTCCCTACTCCAGCTAGTCACTATTCCACAGTAAGAGCACGCATCTCAGCTGTTGCTCCACTGCTGCAGCCCTCCACCCCTTGCCTCTAACTTCAGTCTACAAGCAGTTATTTCTCTTCAGTGGGCTGTCTGATTTCCAAATTGAAATCCACGGGCTGGATTTTCCACGCAGATCCCATTTTACTTCCATGTAAGCAACCTTACAGTGTAGATAACCTGAGTAAAACCTGCCTTCCTCAGGAGTATTTCTCCTTCAAACAAGCACAAACAGTGATGAAATGCAACACCACTACCATAAGAACATTTATTTTCTCACATAGGATCTAGTTGATCACACAAAATGACAGGATATGAAGATACCTTTCTTCTTCAATTAGGCCCTCACATTCAAAAACCACAGTGAAAACTTGGGATATCACTCCATCTTTAATCATGAGATTTTGCTCCCTTGTGAGAAAACAGTTCATTCCTTGCAAAAATGAAAAGCACATTTCCATGCCACAGAAAACTGTCCTGCAGTAAATGTCTCTACCATGTACTGCAGCATATGGTATCAGTAACACTATGCATGAGACATCCTCTCAGTCCCATGGCTACAGTTTAACCAAAGGAAAATTAATGGAAAATGCACACATCAGTTACAGTAAAAAAGAGAGAATGATCAGAAACACCTCATGGGCCAAACACCTTACAGTGGCAGCCTGTATTCGGTATCATCCCAATGACAATTTCACTTTTTCTGAACGCTTGGGACAAGCAGCCAAGCAAGGCAGTGCAACTGTGGCAGAAAAAAGAAATCTCACTCCCAAACACTTTTGTGTTGTTTTCCGTTTTTCTCCCCACACTGCTGCCTTTTCTACTTCCCACCATTAGGTTAAAGCGATTCATCACACATGGAAGAAAATATATTAAAACCATATTAAAGATCTGTCCTGTAACTACATCGGTTATGAGGGAATGCCTTATTTTTTCCTGCTTGTTGCAGCAATAGTACTAACAAACATCACTTCCCAAATGCTAGGTCACAGAAACCAAATTTCTCTGCACTGTCTATTGGTGAGTGTCTGCCCAAAGTTCAGGGGAAGGATGGAGGAGAGGCTCCCTCACAAAGGGAAAGGTCTTTGGGAGTCCCCTGATTAAATCTGCTTGCTGTCTTTTCCACTGCTGCCTCACAAAGCAAGACAGCACCTATGCGTGGTACATCAGGACACAGCTGGTAGGTTCCCAGCACCGCCCAGGTACTTCCAGCACATCTGCCGTGGGAGGCTTCCCTCCCTCTCTGACACGGGGCTTCGGTATCTGCTTGTTGCTGCCCTCTCCTGCTCAGATTCTTCCAGCACTTTGCTCTGGGATCACGAATCTAGCTGGCCCCTGCAGCCACCAAATAGCTCCCGGTCGCAGACCCACCGGAGGCTCTCAGCAGTCCCTCACCTCTTATACAGAGGGGGAAAGGGCCATGCGAGACCCTCCACATGCCGGCCGTACTTACCTCCTAAAGCTTGCTTCATCACAAAATCCATGGCGATGGCTCAGGGGCGCAGCCCAGCTTCACACCTCGCATGCACGGAGTCCGGCAATCGGCGGCGGGCAGCCTGAGGGAAGGGGTACAGACACGAGACGAGCGGTTTCTCCCGGAGGAAAAACGGCGACTGTTTGCTCCCTCCATCCCCACCGCCCTCCTTCCCTGCCAAGTTTCCAGCCGCCGTCCCTCGGACCCCGGCTCTACAGGACAAGGCAGGGGGATGCCAGTCAGTGCAGGGGGGAAGGCAAGAGGGCAGGGGAGCGGCGGTGGCCCGAGAAGGCGGGTGGCCGGCAGCGCGCCCGCAGGCAGCCGGACGAGAAAGCGTTAAAGCTCCGAACTTTCTCTATTCCCCGCCCGCACCTCCCGCCACCTGGCTTTCCGGAGGGGGCATTTGAAGGTGAAACGTTCCGCGTGTGCCCGGCGGGGCGAGCGGGTAAGACGAGCGGCGGGGATGCAGCCGTGGCGGCGGGACGCGGGGATGCGACACCACTTCGCCAGGGATCCCAGCGCACCGCCAGTATCTCCCCGGGAGATGCTCCGCCGGAGCTGGGGACCGACCGGAGGCGGGCGCAGCGCGGTGTCTCCTCCGCGCAGCCAGCTGCCTCCCTCCGCTGGTCCCGGCGCCGGCTCTCCGGTGGGGAGGGGGCTGCACCGACCGCCGCGTGCCCACAGCCGCCTCTCCTCGCTGCCCTCCCGCACGCCGCCAGCACGCAACCCTTCAGCACGGCACGGCACGGCACCGCACCCTCCGTCCCGCCCGCTCCGCGCCTGTACCTCGCTAGCTATGCGGGCGCTGTGCGGTGCTAGACAGGTGCTGCGGGTCGTTCTGGCGCCCACGTGCCAGCGGGCAAGTTGCGGACGTGGAGTGGAGAAGAGAGAATGAGTCCGGAGCTTCTCTCTACTTTTCCCCCGCGCTCCTCTTTTTATCACGGGATTTCCGGACCATCCCACCTACACGGTCCCTCCTTCCTCCTCCCCCCGCTGCAGAAACCGGGCTCTCGCCCTCCCCCTGCTTCCCGCTCCCCCGCCCCTTCCCCGCACCGCCCTCGCCCCTCGGCGCTCGTCTCGGAGAAGGTCCCCGGCTCTGCCAGCCCTGCAGAGGGATGCGCGAGTCCATGTGTGTACCCCTGCCCCATCCCCCGCTGTCTGCGTGCGCCCGGATCCCTGCCGCTTCGCCTGGCGGAGATGGGGGAGGGATTAGCCCGCTGCTGTATTTTGCCACTGCTTCCTTGCTTATCCTCAGGTCTGTGGGGAAACGTCTGCTCTCCTGCAAAAGGTGGGAAGGTGTGGGAGCGATCCGCGTCTTCCGCTCTGGGTCATTCCTGGACATCCCCTCTCGTTCCCTAGGTCCTGGAAAGAGTTGGCAGACAGCGACGAAAACAGGGAGAGAGTAGCGCCTCGTCCTTTCTTCTCCTTCGGCTTGGATTGTACTGTGGCCGGAGGGACCGCCGGCTGAGCTCTCCGTTCCCTCCCTATTCAGGTCCGTCTGTATCCCAAGAGAAGATGGGTGGAGGGCGGGGGCAAGGAAGGGAGGAGAAGGACCCTCCTCCGCGCGGTCGCCTGCTGTAGATCGTGAAGGCTGCGGTCCGCTGTCCATCCCGGGTTCGGGACGGATATTGAAGAAGAGGAAGGAGCGGTGCTCCAAGCAGAGCAATACCCACCCCGGGCACAGAGCATGCCGACAGCCCTCTCGGGGTTGGGTGGAGAGGGCATGAGTTCTGCAGCGGATCGGGCCTCCTGTCACCAGTAGGAGAGGTGGGACTCTACCCCTGGTGCAACCCCTTTGGAGCTGAAGTGATCGGGGGAGGACGGGGATGGTAGAAAGGGGGAGCCCGGGCTGTGGGAGCAGCACAATGGCTTGATCGGGACACAGTAAAATAGTCTTGCCAGTTGACTTCGTCTGAAGGTCAGGGAGAGCCTCGCAGGGAAAGACAAGCAGGTCTGGCATGCACGGCAGACAAAGAGCCTGCTTACAGTGCAGCAGTGCTGGCTACCGTGGCTTCTCGGTGTCTGCTGCAGGCACAGCAAGGCATGCTTCAGTGCTCAAGCCAGCATCTTCTCTGGGTCTGACCCAGATTACTTCCAGAAAGTCACCTCTCAGACAGACCCTAATATCAACCTAGGAAGCTCAGCTGGATAGAGATGTGCTTTGCTTTTACTGACAGTCTTCAGAAAAATAAAAAAATAATAACAAGCAAGGATGGGAGAAACAAGTAAACAAGCCCTCTTGTTTTAATCCCTAACTTACATCCAAAGGTCCTTTCCAGTGGTCTGCTCCCTAAACTGTGCCTACTTTTTCCAAATGATACAGCTGCCAGAGAAACCCAAAACACATGATTCATGGCACCCAAAACACATGATTCATGGCACCCATCACTACAAAGTCCATTTTTCATCATAAGAACTAGACACCAGACTATAAACCTCAGTGAGACACAGTCTCAGCTTCAGGATTTCTCTGCTACCCCAAGTATCAGCTTCCATGCAACTCTCAACTCTCACACGATGTACCTTCACAACAAAAACTCAAATGCTTGTAAACCTGATTTTGGTGTCTTCTTTCAGAAGGTACTCTAACCTATCAGTCAGGAAAGACCCCACCAGTACTCTCACCATCATCACACAGGTTTCAAATACTGAGACAAGGAAGGACATAGTAAAAAAGAGGTGATGTAGTTCATAGAACTTTGCCTAATAACAGATTCAGAAAGAATTCTGGAGAACACTTTTGCTTCTGAGATGGAACAGAGTAAGCCTGACACAACTTTTCCTCAGTATGCTGAGACACCCATCTGTATGGGTGGACTTTGGGGGATCTGATACGTGATTTATCAGAAATGCATGACTTTGGCTACAGTATAAATAACAGCTTGCCCAGTCATAGCAATGATAAGAGCAGTGCTCCATGTATTTTCTTTCTGATGGCATAGACTACGGCCATAACTTTGTTTCATTGTGAAGCTGGCAGCAATGCAGTTTGATAGTATGTTTTAGTGGACAAGAACAAACCACAGAAATAGCAGTGTTTATCCGGTCAGGGAAAGGATACAGGTTCTCTATCAGCACCATGGACAGAGGAGCTCCGCCGCCACCTCTGGGACAAAATTTGTTCTGCTTTGTCCTGATTTTGGCCGCAGTCTGTTTCTTCCCTTGCAGAATCAGAGTACTAGGCATCCACTCTGCTATGTCGTCTGGTGCAGATGAAGGACATGGAAAATTAACGACAAAATTCTCCATGAAACTTTATCTTTAGAACTCAGGCTTCTTGGTTACCAGCTGGAAATCTGTCGGTCTATGAATGTCACTTCAAGAAGGTGGAGTAAGCTGATAATCAGTTATGGCCACATTTCTCATATTATATATATATATACGTACACACGCATACACTCTTCCCTCTTCCTTTTTTTTCCTTTCCTTTTTTTCTTTTTCCACCTTGTGGTATAACTGCTGCACTGTTCAGTACACTGCAGGAAGCACCTGGTCAGTGGCAAGATGATTAGCTAGTGGCAAAATGATCGATAGCTGTTGAGACAGAAGAGTTGGACAGTTGCTAATGTAGTTTGTGCATTGCAGTTCCAGACCCTCCAGCTGTTTAGCTCACTGAACACAAACATTCTGCATGTTCCTGCTTGCTCTTGAGCTGTCAATTGTGGCTGCTTGTCAAAACATTTCAAAGTTCAAGCAATTTTTCACTTCAAAAATATTGCTTTGTTTATTGTTGTCCACTCAACATACAGAAAATATTACATTCTTTATTTTCCAACCAACTAGAAAAAATATATACTTTATCTTGTAAGTAGTAGTTTCCCCGTAAGTCAAAGTTATGAGAGGACTTTTCAACAATATCTGCTAGCTGTAGAGAAAAAGACACTTCAGATTTCTAGGTAAGTATTTGCTACAGATATCACAAAAACATTTTTTAGGTGCTGTGCTTATAAAACCTGAATTAAACATGTATTGCCCTGCCTTCTTTACATGCATAATCAGGCCTGCATATTAGGCCTCCTTGTTGGGCATCCAGTGACAATTTCTATCTACTTGGCTGGTGGTTTCTTATCTGTTCCCATTGCCCCTGTAGCTCTGTCTCTTTCTGTGTTGTACCCTTTCTCCAGACAAGACCTCTGTCTCCTATCTTGTCAGGCAGATTAAGAGTCATGTTTCAGTAGGGCTGTGATCCCTGCAGATAGGCACAGTGCTGTAAAGATCCTGTAGATCCCAGCTTTACAGCTCTATATGATAAGATTTCTTTTGCAGGCAGAATTTGGCCACAAAGCTGAGAATCCATTTAAATTATTCTGATGATCTACTCAGAGCATATCAAGCTTTTGTTATGAGATTAATATTTGGGTATGTTTTACAGAAATTTTTCTATCAGCGAACAAGAATAATCCAAATCTGTATGTTTTACCAAAATGTGCCAGTTTATGCATAAGAATAAAGGCAAGAAATCTAAAGAAAATATTTTGACTTGCTTGTATACTGTTGAGATATGGAAAAAAATGCTTCACTTTTTTACTTCAGTTTTCCTGGACTTCTCTAGCAAAGCAAGTCTGTATCAAAACTAAACATTTCACCATATTAGAGTAGCTCTTCTTTTCACATTATGTTTTCCTTTGTTGTTACAATTTTGAGTGGAATCAAGGTTTGTCAAGCATACTTTAGAACAGCATTTCCTTTTTTGCCAGCTATATCTATGCTTAGCGTTCAGTCATTACTCTTCTTCTTGGCAAAGGAAAGGAACAGAGGGAAACAGCATGCTCAACTGAGACTCTAGATTGTAACAGATGCTGTGACCCATAGTTCCCTACCTGTTTAGAGAAAGCAGCCCCAAGTTCTGGGCTTGAAAGGGAGCCATTCAGATCAGTAGGTATAATTTCCCAACCCACAACAAACATCTTAATTGTTTGTTATTTTTATCTTTTCCCTAAGCATGAAGTATCCTTAGATACTTCAGATACTTTTAGCACAATTACTCTTAGCTGTGAGATGCTGACCAATTCAGCACTTAATACATTTTGCTGTTTACATGCATATGTCTCCAAAGGGACCATAATAACAAGATATAGAACAACATACTGAACTCATGAGTCTTCATACCTTCCTGTCTCAGTCTGGATCTTTGTTTTCACACACCACCACTTCAATAACGAACATAAGCATGGGATGAAGAAATCTGCTAGGGAGAGATATTTGCTGTGTCAGGATAAAGGAAATAGCAGCAGCTGGAAATAACAAGTCTGTATAATCCACAAGAAGTATATATACATGCACATTTCACCTTAGAATATTTTTTTGTCCTCAGCAGAACCATAAGAATTGAGTTTTTATTTCATATAAGTAAACAAATTCAATAAATGTATTCCCAGCTTTTACTGCTCTGGTATTTCTTCCATTCGTTCTTTCAGTGTCAGACAATTACAGCTCCATTGGTGTTGTAGGAACAAGGTTACATGAAAATAGAAATACTAGAAACGGTACCTTCACAATGTATAACCAAACATGAGGAACATGCAATGAGGAACACCATCTACAAGAGCCGCCACAGCCTTGTATAACTAACTAACCCTTCATCAAATTCTCTCCAAGAGGCTCCAAAAATATCAACAAATATCCTTTTGCCTGAGTCATCTTTGTCTTGTCAGCTTATGATATATGTCTTCATCTTTATTTTTTTCTGTATGTGTGATATTTTCTGAGACCTCTTCAGTAAGTGACACGATCTCTCAACAATA